TATCAAGTATACGACCAGTGCCAAGGAATGAGAAGGTACCGTTGGTGCAGAGGAAGTGGTTGGTGCCATAGGGTGCAGTGCCGTAGTCATCGGTACCAGTGAAGTTGTCGGTACCGATGTGGATGACAGTACCGTGGTTTGTGCCAGTATGGTCTTAGGGCGATGTGTAGGCCCTTTGCCATAGGTGCCGCTGGTAGCTGATGATGCCTGGACACCTGAGGTACCCGGCCCATCATAAGCGCTGATGCGAGGCCTGTGTGCTGATGGTTTCCTTGAGGAGGGCTGGTGATGAGGCTGAGAGGAACTCCTCTTTTTTTGGTACCTTTTTGCCCTGAGGGAAGCCTGGGGCTGAATGTACCTCCCTGGGCTGCCTTCCCTGGTCTGAAGCCAGGTTTGCCTTCTCTTCCAGAAGGTTCAGTTTCCGGCAAAGGTCCCTGTCCCTGTGAGTCCTGGCCTTGAGTTTGGCACAGTGGGGACAATCCTGAGATGAATGGTGCTCTCCTAAACATCTGACGCATTGTGAATGACGGTCCAAGATAGGCATCACGTCTCTACAAGAGGCACACCGTTTAAAACCCGGAGAGCTGGGTACAATGAAAACCTTTTTTTTTTTTTAAACTATAACTATTAACAATGTGAGAAGACCAACACTAACTAAGAACTATCAATTAACAGCTAATAACAGTTGAAGAGTGTGAATAAGGCAGAGAACTGCAGAGCTCCATCTCAGGCCGAGGGTGGTTGAGAAGGAACTGGAGAGGATGGGCTGCACATGTGTGGTGCCGACTGGCACAGCACACGCTGGTTTGTGCTGCACATGCATGGCCCGACAAGGACTGCTGCAAAATCTCCGATCCAGGCATCAGGACAACATCAAGACCCAAGCATGGAGCATCCACTGGGACCTCTCGAAGAAGAATAGCCGGTATTCCAGTCATTCGTGCATTGTAAGCATGGGTTGGAGTTGTATGTATCTCTAGTGGCCAAGCTTGCAGACCCTCGGGACAGTTCAGCAAACATGACAATGTGGAAATCTGCGCTGATTAGGCCCCAACTGGAGTATTGCATCCAGTTCTGGGCACCACATTTCAAGAAAGATGTGCAGAAATTGGAGAAGATACAGAGAAGAACAGCAAAAATGATTTAAGGTCTAGTAAACGAGCTATGAGGGAAGCCTAAAAGAATTGGGCTTGTTTAGCTTAAAAAAGGGAAGACTGAAAGGGGACATGATAGCAGTTTTCAAGTATTTAAAAGGGTGTTACAAGGAGGAGGGAGAAAAGTAGTTGTCCTTGGCCTCTGATAAGACAAGAAGCAATGGGCTTCAACTGCAGCAAGGGAGGTTTAGGTTGGACATTAGGAAAAATGTCCTAACTGTCAGGGTAGTTAAATACTGGAATAAATTGCATAGGGAGGCTGTGGAATCTCCATCACTGGAGATATTTAAGAGCAGATTAGATAAACACCTGTTAGGGACAATCTGGTGCTTGGTCCTGCCGTGAGGGCAGTGGACTGGACTCAATGACCTCTCAAGATCCCTCCCAGTTCTAGGATTCTATAAGTCAAGATGCTGGGTGACCTCTGCAGATACTTGTACTGGCTTCTACAAATCTCAGCTCTGCATTTAAAAAAAATTGAAACACCTATCAGATTGTACTATAATAGCAAAAGGTTTTAAAATCTGTCATGTGCTTAAATGGAAAGAGGTGTTAGTGAATATTAGCAAATGAGTTCAAATACTGATATGTCAATGTAACATTTAACCTACAAATCATTTGACCGCCATGTAACCAATACATGGAAAATGTGACTGACAGAAATAATATATTTGCATGTACTTTATCTTCTATGTGTCAGTATAATTGTCTTCTGCAAAAATTGTATCTGTTTACTAGGGCAAATAATTATCCTATACTAGAAAAATTTAAAACCTAAAAATGAACAAAAAAGCATTAGCTAGTAGACTGTCAGAACTATGCTTTACATTTTGCCTAGAATCAATCACAAATAGTGTCTCTTAGCAACAACCCCTTATATAGCTTTTTTCACCCACAATCACATTGAAAACACTGATGAACTAGGTTAGAGAAAATTGCAACATACCTGAGATTATCCTCTGATTTGCTTCTTTCCCTTTGTCCAATTATAATACACAGACTCTGAAGACAATCAACTGCTCATCTCAGCCCAGTTTTTAAGTGACCTCCATTACATGTTGCAATTTATCAGTTGGGGAGAGAATGTTGTGCACCAACCTGTAATTTAACAATGGCCACGTGTCAATCTTGATGAACAGTAAGAAGTATGCACAATAGATTTGAACATGTCAATCAATATTAATAGAACAACCTGGGTGGTTTTTTAAAAAAGATTTTTGAAATTTGCACTTTTTAGAAATAAACTGATGTATGGAAGTGTGGGAACTCAAAGTTATAAGAATTTTTAGATCACAAGGCCGAGTTGGGCATAGCTTCCAATAACTTAAAGCTATAGGACTTTTGCGTAAAAACCTCATGTTCAAACACCAAGTGCTTCTCATTAATTTCTACAACTTTATGTAATTTTACAATTTCTCAAAGTGTAACAGCAATTCATTTGCTACTGTGTTCAATTCTGCAAACATTGCAGTAGGAAACAGATTTTTTTTTTTTGTATAAGTGTTTCTGACAACACTTTAAAACATTCTGTTGTGGTGACAACACCACAGGGATCATTACTTAGTGAAGTTAGAGAGAAACACCACAAAATTATTTGTATATACTGCTGTAAGCCTTTTCTAAAAACTTTCTTCTAATGTGTCTTTTATGTTGTGCTGCATCAGCCAACACAAATGTAATAAATAGGTGAAAGCAAAACATGCCTGAAATAAATTTACATAGGAAAAAGAGGTTACTTACCAGTAACCAGGAGTCTTCCAGATGGTTCCACATATTCCCATGTATGGATTATTGTGCCACCTTATGATGCCTTGTGGTACCTTTCCCTTTAGTGTCACCAATATTCTGAGAAAGAGACCATACAATGGAGTGCCCCTACCATCTTCAGTTCCTTGCACCACAAAGCCAGAGACAGAAATGAACAAGGACTCTCTCAAAAAGGGTTAGGTTGGTGGGAAGTATAAATACATGGAGCCATCTCCAAGAACTCTGGTTATGGGTAGGTAACTGTAACCTGCATTTCTTCAAGTGTGTCTGCATATTCCTACTTATGGGATAGGCTGATAAGCAGTGTTAAAATCTAACCTACAGGCAGGAACAGTCCTTGTTGAATAGAGATTGAAGCCCTGTCTTGTTAAACTCAGTGGCCTCCCTGGAGGCCAAGTCTAGAGCAGTGTTTCTCAACCTTTTTTTTATAAAGTACTCCCTTTTTAAATATATATAATTATCCCAGTACCTACAGTTTTCTGACAATTTTTTTTCTAACATTGCAACACATTTGTTTAAACAACTTAATCATAGCTAGGGTTGCCAGATGGTTTCAACAAAAATACCAGACACACTTGGCATTATATCACAATCTACATTACATCTTATTTAGAAAATACCAGACATTTATATTTTCTCAATTTGTTTCCTGAACAGAAAGCTCAAATACTGGACTGTCCGGTTCAAAACCGGACACCTGGCAATTCTAGCTGGGCAGGTGACGGAAATGTTTCGGTATAAAATGTAAAACAAAAATTCAATTTTCTCCAAATTTCAGTTGTGTTGACTTATTTCCCTCCCCCTCCCCCCCGATTTATCTCTTACCACAGGTTGAGAAACACTGGTCTAGAGCATAATTCTCAGTGAAGGTGTACACCGTAGCCCAAGTGGCAGCCCTGCATATTTCAGTAATTAGCACTTGCTGAAAACAAGAGAACAAACTTGCTCATGTGGTTCAGTTGCAGCAGGTAAAGAACTTATGCTAATATGTAACATGCATCAATACATAGTTGAATGCACAAAGAAACAGTCTAGGAAGAAACTGTGTAACCCATGTGGCTATTAGCATAAGATGCAGTTTAGATTATTTATAAAAACTCTTTAGTCATACCCAAATGGGCAAGAACCCTTCTAGCCACTAAAGTATAAAACAACTTCTCAGTTCTTATAGAATGTGGTTGGGTTGGGGCGAAAAAGAGGAGGAAATCAGACATTACCTTCAGTAAGAAACTGATTAGGCCTGTGACTTACCTTGTCCTTATGAAAAGAAGTGAGATGGATCAGCTATAAAATCATTCACTCTGCTGGCCAATGTGATGGTGATAATGAAGGCTGTTTTGATAAGTATATGACAGTGTGAAAACACAACCAAATTTTCAAAGGGTGAATTCACCAGAACGATCAAGATCCCAAGAGGAAATAGGACTTCTAATGGAAGATACACTTTTGATAAACTTTTCATGAACTTCTTAACTGAAGTGCGAACAGTGAACTGCCATCGAAAAATATATCATATGTGGAGATGGCTGCCCAATGAACTGATTTTTAAATGAATGAAATATTCCAGAACACAAGGAACGTGAACTGATACAGGTGAATCATAATTCCTCTTAATTCATGCTTGAAAATTAGACCATTTTAGAAGGTAGCAGTTTCTAGCTGACGGCTTTCTAGAGTTAAGTAGTATATCGTGCACAGATGAAAAACAGGATTGCTCAAGAGCAGACAAGTCACAGTTTGATCACTCACACTGCCGGATGATGTGACCGTGGGTCCAGATGAAAGATCCTACTCTTCCCTTGACACCGAAATCAGAGACTCTGCAGGACACTTACAGGAGATTGGTAAACACCGGTTGACAAGGCCAAGCCTGAATGATGAGACTATTTTTGCCCTGTCTTATCTTTTTCACTACCTTCTGAGTCAAGGGAAAGGAATGAAAGGTATACATCAGACCATTATCCCTG